GACCGTTCAGGCGAACTGGAGAAAACTTCGAGGTGCATGTGGAGATTCCATCGAGGGCCAACGCGATCTGAGCGCGTGTTCCTACCCCCATTGCACACCCTCGCGGCCTTCCCCTATTTCATTGTCGTGTAGAGCCTACTGTGCCCTATTCGCGATCCCGGAGCCGGGCTTGCCGTTCCGACTGCGCGGAGCGTCCGCCAGCGTTACGACCAGACAGTGGAAGTGCTTTCAGGAGACTGGCAGTCCTTCCTCCTCCTCATCCTGCTCTCCTCCTTTTCCACCTCCTCCTCCTCCTCTTCTTCCTCCCTGGCGCGACCGCGGCGGAACCATACTAAATGGCGCCTCCCACTCCTCCTTCTCCTCCTCCTCCTCCTCCTTCTCCCCTTATTATTCCCCCTCCTCCTCCTCCTCTTCCTCCTCCTCCTCCTCCTCCTCCTCTTCCTCCTCCTCCTCCTCCTCCCCCTCTCCCTCTCGTCCTCCTCCTCCTGCTTCTCCTCCTCCTCCGCCATCCCTCTTCCTCATAAGTATTTGTTGTCGCATCCCCCAGACGTGTCGGTAGGGTGGCCGGGCGTTTCGCTTGAGAGATCCCCATCGTTTGTGTGTTCGGAAGTTTTTTATTTAGAATTTGCAATGACGCCGCGCACGCTCGCCTGAAACATCTGCAGCAGCTTCAGGGATGGAGGTCGGCTGGTTTTCAAAATGCGGCTGTCTTTTTAGCGCCGTGCGCACTCGTCGTAATACAATGTGGTAGTTTAAAGGGTGGAGGTCGATTCCCGCTCAAGATGCGGCTGTCGCATTAGGGCCGCGCGCATTCGTTTGAAAGTTGTGCAGCAGTTTCGAGGATTCGCATGGTTGAAGTCCCAGGCTGGCCCAGGACTCCTGGTCTGGTACGGTTCAGGATTGCCAGGACGCAGCGCAACAATCAGTGTTTCGCGGTGTTGGAGTCCCAGGCATGGTGTTCTGGCACGGTTTGGGATTGTCAGGGCGGAGCAGTCACGTTGATTCGCGGCGTTGAGGTCACAGGATGTGCGTCTTGGCAAGATTGAGGATTCTCGTACGGTTGTCTTTGCTCTTCCTGCTGCTCCTGCGCCTGCTGCTGCTCCTCCTGCTGCTCCTCCGCCTCCTGCCCATCCTGCTGTTGCTCCTCTTGCTGCTGCTGCTGCTCCTCTTGCTCCTCCTCCTCCTTATCCTCCTGCTCCTCCTGCTCCTCATGCTGCGCCTGATCCTGCTCCTCCTGCTGCCTCCTGCTCTTCCTCCTCCTTTTTGACGTTGGTCGGACCTGAAGACCTGAAGAGCAAGCTTGTGGCGTCCAGAAAACAGTGCTAGGCCTCAAGGAATAGAATCGCCGACTAAGGCCTTCACAAACTAATTGAGGTTGCGGCCAGTGCGGATAAGGATGTGCGAAGAGCTGCGGTAAAAGCGTGTGGCTTTTAGGGGCTGAGAGTAACTAGGCAGTTGCCGTGTGGAGGGAGAGAGGAACAACCAACAAATCGATGAAACAGTCAAATAACAAGGATAACAAAGCGGGAAGGTGGAGTACCGAAATGCGCGTGCAAGTGCAAGAAGCAACGGTGGCCTGGCCGTATAGAACCCTCCCCCTGCCCGCAGCCAATCCAATCGCGAACCCCCCCGATCCCATCACATTGCAGTGCTGCGCCGCTCCAGGCGGCTTAGGCGAATGTGCCAGGGCCCATGAAACGATGCCCTTGGAGCCGCGCCGGCTCTGGCAGCTTGGCGAACGCTGCGGCGGCTTTGTCCGAGGTGGGTTGCTGCGCTGCCTCTGCAAATCAGGGCTGGGCCCTTGCGCCCAGCTGCTCGGGGATATGTCCACACGACGAAGTCCCACCCCGCCCACTCCTCCACCCTACACCATACCCATGTCCCTCCCCAACGAGGGCCCTCCAGGGGATACTACTGCCCTGTACAAGGGCTGATGCCGGTGGGCCAATGTACTGATGCCCATGCGAGAAAGTATCGCGGCCCTCACCGAGGGCAGTAGAAGTCTGAGTAACGGATGTTGTCCTCGTTCCTCTTCCATCTCTTCCCATGAGAAAATCACCTCCACCTCCTCCCGCAAGCCTTCACCGAGGGACATCGCGAAGGGGCCAATATTACAATGCCCCTTGCCCTCACCGAGGGCATTCTTCTCAAATTGGTGCCTCACCGAGGGTACATAGCGAACACATAGAAAACGCAAAGACGCCCCTACGGAAACGCTGCCTGTCGCTGTCGGCGTCCTCCCTCCAACTATGATCACATCCTCACCTCATTCAAACCTCCCCCACTACGCCTCGGGCATCACGGCTGGGTGGCAGAAAGAAACGGCTTCCCGTAAACGCAATCAATTGAGAGATGCCGACCCATGGTCTGCCCTAGTGACGACGTGGCCCAGGTGCACACCACGGTCAGGAAAAAGCAGGCGGAGAGGACCGATGAGCGGGGCTAAACTCAATCGCAGTTCGTCTCGGGCGCCGCTGCACTCGAACGCACACACACACACACACACACCGCAACACTAGGTGGTCGGTCCCTCCTCCTCCTCCTCCTCCTCCTCCTCCTCCTCCTCCTCCTCCTCCTCCTCCCCTCCTCCTCCTCCTCCTCCTCCTCCTCCTCCTCCTCCTCCTCATCCTCCCCCTCCTCCTCCTCCATCCTCAGTGCCTCCACCCATCCGGTCCCACACGTGGCCAGGGCCCTCCCGAGGGCAGTTAAAGCCATTACCGAGGGTAGCTGAGAGTCCAACGCTTGCGGCCTAAACTTTCGAGATTGCCTCGGGCACCACGACTGGTGGCAGAAAGAAGCGGCATCCCAAACACGCAAACCAACTGAGTGATGCCGGCTCCATGGTTTGCCTTGACGGCCACGTGCCCCAAGGGCCCACCACTACGGCCAGGAAAATGGAGCGGACCGAGCGGGGCTACACCCAGCCGCTGTTCGTCTCGGGTGCCGCTGTGCTCGAACATGCACCACAACATCGACGCGCTCCAACACGGGTTGCAGAGGAAGCAACCGAGCGCCCGCAATGAATGTTCTCTACTCCTCCATCCATCCTCTGCCGTGTACTTCCCCAGAAAATAACGAATGCGCACGAGCACGGCCCATCAGCAAGTCGCAACGGCACGGAATAGTCAAGAGCGAGCATGTACTGCACCCAGCCGCAGGAGGCGAAGAGCCATGCACAGGCATCCACCGAGGCGGACGCTCATGCAAGATTGTTTCCCCAGCCAGCAGCGGGGGACGGCCCCCGAGGGGGAGAGGAGAGGCCCGTACGGCCCGAACGAGCGGGATAGGCGAGAGGAGAGGGGGAGGGACGACACTACGACTGCAGGAGGGGCCTTTGCTCGAGTGAGAGAATCAAAGCCGATGCACTCGAGCTCTGCGTGGTTTTCTCTTGGCGCATATCACCAGCACGCCCAGCGGCGACGCGCCAAATGCGCGCCGGGAGGACTAGAGGAGGCTGGCGACGACGAAGTTGGATGAAGTTCTGTGGTGTGTGATCGTGCAGATCAGAGTGTGTGAGTTCAGCCTTCGCCGTGTCGAGCCTCTGATGTCTGTCTGTGCGCCGGCACGGAAGATCAAAGCGAACCCCTTTTTCACAATCACTTTGTCACCTGCGAGGAGCTTATTTCGAAGGTGTTGCCTTGCCGTCTGTCCTCTTTTTTGAATCAGCTTGATCAGATATTTTACCCTGTCTCAAAGTTGACCGTATCACCTGGACCACTTTCGAAGAAGGATGTGCATTACGAGGTGGAGCGTCCACTCTGGCCACGTTCACGGTGGTGTGCGCATCCTCTATGGCCGCGGCCGTCTCCGTTTGGACTGCGGTTGCCTCCTCCGCCTCTGGATCGGCAGTCGCCTCTGAAGATTATGTAACGGCGGTCGTCCAGTGTGGAGCGGACGCCATGGTGAGTCAGGCACAGATGTCCTGTCCGCAATTCCTTTTGCGAAATCTGGCATGTTTGCCACGAGCTCCATGTCATCGCCATTGTCTCCAGTTCCACTAACTTCAGAAAACTGTTCATCAGTTGGCAAACCAGCGTCATATGTATTGTTTTCAAGATCGGAACTATCACCATTGCAACCACCAAGCACGTTGCTTGATGTATTCGCTTCTTCTGGCTCGGTTCTAGATGGACAGGGACAGGGGTATGTATGCACCAGCCGCTGTAGGCACAAACTCTTTTGTGAACCTGTTCATGGGAATGTTGGGGAAAATCGGAGGAAGAGGGGACCCAACATGATACTGAGAATGACGCCCTGAATCCAAGTCCTGTGTTTGAGATGTGTGCGGAATACCGCAGGAATGTGTCTTTCCGCGCCCGCAGAATATGAACACGACGGTAACGTAGACGACGACGCAAGTCGCCAATCGCATCATGCTGCCGTCGCAAGGTCGCCAACTCCAATAAAATTGAGAGTGCGGTACATGGTCGGTAAACATGTCTAGCTATGATCGCGGCCGCCCGCGAGGCGGAGGGATTGCGCGCTTGGCCGCTGCCCGGAAGAGGGAGGCTTGTCCTTCCGCCAAGACCTCTCGGGCAACCGGCTCCTCCTCCTCCTCCTCCTCCTCCTCCTCCTCCTCCTCCTCCCATCCTGCTCCTCGTCCTCTTCCTCGTCCTCATCCTCATCCTCATCATCATCCTTCCTTCTCCTGCCTCCTGCCTCCTGCCTCCTCCTCTCTCCTCCTCCTCCTCCTCCTCCTCCCCCTCCTCCTCCTCCTCCTCCTTCTCCTCCTCCTCCTCCTCGTCCTCCTCCTCTTCCCCCTCCTCATCCTCCTCCTCCTCCTCGTCCTCCTCCTCCTCCCCTCCTCCTCCTCCTCCTCCTCCTCCCCTCCTCCCCCTCCCTCATCCTCCTCCTTATCCTCCCCCTCCTCCTCCTCCTCCTCCTCCTCCTCCTCCTTATCCTCCTCCTCCTCCTCCTCCTCTTCCACCTCTTGCCTCATCCTCCCGTCTCCCTTCTCCTGTGGGCCGCTCCCACTGCGCCAGCATCTCCTCTCCCGCCAGCCGCTCGTCCTGTCGCTCTTCGGCGAAGAGCGCAACCTCGGGGTGTTCCCCACGGTCCTGCACAGCGCCGGCCCCAGCTCCGCCCGCCACGTCTTGGGGGCCGGTCGAGGAGCGAGGGAGGAAGAGTATGTGGGAGAAGGGATGACGAGGAAGAGGAGACGGAGGAGGGAAAGGGAGGATAAGGAGGAAATGGGAGGAGGAGGAGGAGGAGGAGGAGGAGGAGAAGGAGAAGGAGGAGGAGGAGGAGGAGAAAGGAGAGAAGAGAGAAAGAGAGAGAGAATGAGAGCAAGCCGCGCACGTCCAGGGCGCATTGGCAGTGAAACGCGCGGGGCTATGCATGCGCCGGTACGTCAAAGCAGAAGCGCCAGGCAGCCGTGCGCCACGCGTCCGCAGGTCCAGTCACTACCTGTCGTAGAGATTCTTGTCCGCCAGCTGCTTGGCATGCCAAATCGTAGGCACACTCGCTCCAGGTGTTTCTGGGCCGGCCGCGCTTGCGGGGGCCCCGCGGGCGGGGTAAGGCGCAGCTCCTTGGCGTGAAAACGCAGCGCCTCATTGCGCCGCCATCGGGTTGCCGGGCGACGTCTCCCATCAGGGCCAGTTGTCTGTTTGCCAGCAAAGCTCATTCCCCGCAGCCACAGAGGCGCGTACGGACTCATTGGTGATGTGAATGGCATACGAGCGCCCTATGCCAGCCACTTTTCGGAGGTACCGTGCTTGGAAGGCGTCCACCTTATTTATCTAGGCCTTGTGGAGCCAAACGGTGTGCAAACAATACATGAGGTTGGATATGGTTGGATACAATACAAGCTTCGAGTATCCGCACCTTCCTTCGCAATGGGATATTGCAGTTATTGCAGTGCTTCCAAGCCTTGCAGAGCGTGCTGAAATCTGTCGCTGCCATGCCCAAACGTCTGCTCAGCTCGGGGCCGCTCCCGCCGCTGGCAGACAGGAGGCCGTCCAAATAAACCATGCTCTCCTTGCACAGCACTGCTGCGCCGCCGGGTTTAGTGAGCGCGGTCTGGCACCTAACAGGTAGGGCCTCTGTCGTGCTCCAGTTGAACGTCAAGCCGTAATGCTGCCCTGCCTCCTGGATGCATTTTGTGAGCGTGCCCACGATCTCGTCCTTGGCTCACCACGAGCGTGTCGTCCGCGTAGATCAGCTCGCTGACCGGAGGCTGCTCATCTTGCGTAAATCTTTGCTGCCTGAAAGCCACCGCGATGTCGCGCATCAATATGGTCATCACTGCGGAAAACAAGTACGGTGATAGAGGGCAACCCTGTGAGATACCTTACTTTTGCGGTCAAGATGCGGACACTGCTCCGGCCTCTTGTACCCGAAACGATCGATCCGTGCATATTGGCCTCACACATTCTGAAAATGGTGCAGGCACGCCAAAGCGAAGTAGATTGCAATAAACCCTCTGGCGACACACTATCGAAGATTTTTCGCCCAATCCAGCGCTAGGAAGATCAGCCGATCGGAGCGGGACTCAAACGTGGCATCGATCATCTCCCGGGCGACAAGCAAGGCGTCTGACCTATCCAGGCCGCTCCTGAAACCGTACTGCGTGTCCCAGATACGACGACTTACTCCTGCCATTCAGCCGAGCAAGCAAATAATGGCGTAGAGTTTGCACCCAACCGGTAGCAGAGAGATGGGTCTGTAGATGGCGCAGTCCGCAACGTCGCTTTTCTTGATCCCCCCCGCAACTCATTCCTGAACCCCTCAACCCCCCCGGTCGGATTTCTTTTCTCTCCGCGGGCGGTCCACCTTCGCGGCGACCCGTTCAGTTTGGGACCCATGGCGGCGCATGGATTTTTGTTGTTCTTTTTTCCGCGCGCGCATTGCCACTGGAACCCCTGACCCCCCCCGGCTAGAGTGCACCAAGCACTTGAGTACGATTGGTACCATCGTGTGCTAGCGCGCAGCTGCTCCACCTGGTCCTGCAGCACAACTAGTCTTATCGAATTGCGATTGAGGCACTCAAAAGATCAGTATAGACTCGCGACTCGGGAACAAGGAGGCACTATATGATCGCGATTTGGGAGCCCTGAAACAGAATATGATCGCGAGGAAGAAATAAGGAGACAGTGTAGAATGTCGACTTCGGAAATAGGGTACGCAGTAGCGTGCAAGTAATACTAGTACACCTCCCTAGTACAACTACTCTTGAAGTGATGCTGCACCACATCTACCATCTGGACTCTCGCGCTTTTCTTCCTCTGTTTGCGCTGGGGGGAGGGGGAGGCCGCGCGCCAGCCCCCCCGCGGCTGAGTGTTCATTCCTCTTTCGGAGGTTTAGGCAGGGGTTACCCCGAACCCGAACCCCTCGCCAAGGACTTCTTTTTCTTCTGCGGAAGGTGGACTTCCCGGGTTCCTCGGCGCCCCCCCGGGCAGGCTTTCTTTCCGGATGGCATGCATTCCTTCCGGATGCTGATGTTGGAGCCGCCCAGGTGATCTTTCGTGAAGATCGCCACTACCAGAGCTTCGTGCAACGCTGCGGGGACGGACTGTTCGGCCAGGCACCGGTTGCACAACGCCGAAGCCAGCCCATTCCATTGCCGGGGAATCTGGCATGCAGATCGTCTTCCAGAATTCCACCAGGATGTCGTCACCACGCCGGGCTCTGTTCCGCTTGAGCTGGCGGGTTGCCTTGCACACCTCCCCCGTGCTGATTCGACCGGACTCAACAGGCAGCGCTGGGCCAATGGGAAGGTTCGTCGACGGCGGTTGTCGGCCGAATGGTCCATTGAACCGTGGAGAAGTACTCCGCCAGAGTTTCGGCTCTCGTGTCGTTGTCCACTTGGGGTCCGCGTGAGTCTCGCATGCGCCCTTGCTGCGCTCGGGGGCTTGAGTTTTCTCAAGGGAGAAAAAACCACCCGGACCGGACAATTGGCGTTTACTCAACGGTCTTGGGCGTATACTAAACAGCCCTGCCCTGGTTGATTCCTTCATTGGGCGCGTTTACTACACGGCTTGGGTGGATTTTCTGCCCTCTATTACCTGGCCTCTGTCCAGTCACGCCATTTGCTGCGGTCAGCTTTCACAGCAGCCCTGATCCTGCCGTGCAGTCGTTTCTCAGCCTCGTGGTGGCCACTTTGTCGCGCCCCTCCGCGCAAGGCAGTCGGTTCGAGGGCGGCAGTGCTGACCCATGGCCTGCTCCTGGTGCCACTAGCCTCTGGCAAACATTTCCCGGCAGCGTCGGTGAATGCGTCCACCATGGAACCGTTTAGCTGGTCTAATGGGCCCTGGTCTTCCATGTGATCCACGAAAGCACGCTGGAATGCCGACACACGTGGGCCTCGCGACAGCGCTGAGATATTCAGCCAGGCCGCGTGCTGCCGGATAGCTCTCTGGATGTTCAGGCGCACGTGGCATTGCAAGAGAACGTGGTTAGGATGCCAAAGCGGCGCCTCGCACAGAGTCGACATCGCAGACGTATTCTTGTAATTGGCGCGAGCACAACAAGAAGTCGATCTACCCAAAATCCTTTGGTGTGGCTGGGTCTGATAGCCGGGACCCCACATTGTCCCCCAATCAGTGCTTGCATTGAAGGGGTCCTAGCGGAAGTTGAAAGATTTGGCGAAAGTTTCCCGCCGATTTTGGTAGCAGGCTGGGTTCCCGGGTTCCCGGTTCCGGGTTCCCAGTTATTGGTTCCGGGCCGATTTCGGTAGGCTCTGGGTTCGGTCGATCTCAGCGAAGACGATATTTGATTGGGGGTTTTCTCTGGTGTAATACCATGTAACTTGCTCTTCGGGCACGTGGTCGAAGAACGTGTTGCGGACCACCACATCGCGAGACACAAAAATTTCCAGCAAGGAGTTCCTGTTCGACTCTGGTTTGATCTCCGCTCCGGGGTTGCCGAAAATGTACGTCGGGGGCCCCCAAACGGGATGGTGACCACACCGTGCGGTGAGTCGGTGGGGACTCGGGGTCACCGCACGGTTTTGGGACTCGAGTCGTTCTCCGAGGACGTCTCGGGCGACAGGGGCCTCCAGGGTCCCAAAACCATGCGTTGACGGACCGTGCGGTGAGGTCTCTTTGGGTTCCGAGGTCACCACACGGTCTGTCACCGTACCGTTTCGGGACTCCACAGTACGGGCCCAGGTGCTCCTCCTCGCAACGGAAACGTTTGTGCGAACTCGCGCTGAAGTCCCCCAGAAATAATTTGCCTCCATGCCTGGACGTGTTACGAACAATCACGTCCAAACATTGGTAGAAGTCACGTCTGTCTGCCACTGACTTTCCGCTATGGGGCGCGTACGCGCTGAAAGTTTGGATTTTACCTCCTGGAACCCGAATTTGGGCGACAACGACCCTGGAGGATGTCATACGGAATCCAAAAATACTCTCGCGAATGCGTGGAGATGATAAGAACCCACTCCAGCTGTATCTTGGTCTTCGGGGTCCCCAGATCACACTGATAGGTAACCCCAGCTAGTAACAGTACGTATATGTAGACTCGCTCTTGTGCGTCTGCTGGAGCGCCAAAACATCGACGTCCCGACTTCGCACAGGAATTTGCAGCTCCTCCAGCTTCGCCTCTGTAAGCCCCTCCCGCGAGCTCATGTTGGGGAGCTCCACGAACGCGAGTGAAGGTCCCTTTGAAATGCATTTTCGCTGGCGGAGGGGCTGAGAGGGTCTCCAACTTTTCGTGTAACCACTCGGAGTCCGTCGACAGGTCGCCAACGCCGTCCAAATTCCCGACCTCAGTCGTACCGAACTGCTTGTTGGAGGCCTGATGTCAGGAGGGAGTGAGTGGAACAGTGGAGAGGGTCATTGCTCGCCATAACCATATTGATGCGATCGTCGACGAGCTTACTAATATCCTCCCTGGTCATGGGCATTGTCTTCAGCATCTCCTCCATCTCGTCAATGCGCAGATCGGCATCGATGACGCTAGCCTCGATGTTCTCCAGGCGGCTGGTCAGAGTCTCGCTCAAGGAAGTGACACTTGACCTTCATGTCCAGCTTCCCGAAGTCCCTCCGCAGAGCGTCCACGATGGATGTCATGGGGGCCAGCTGCTGCTTCAGGACGGCTGCAATGCCGCCCATCTTCACGGGCTCCGTGTCTCCGACAGCGGTGTCGGCACCCGAGAAGTCCGGCTGCCGAAAAGGGTTTGCGAGCTGATCTTTCACCTCGCGGTCCGAGTCACCGTCCATCTCGTGAAGTGGGCTCCTGAGGCGGGCACGCTTGTCGGCGGGCGTGGCAAGGGCCACAACGACCGGCGCTGCATCGGAGGACGTCCCGCCTAGAACTCCACGCACAGGAGTGTCCAGCTGACGAGAGTTCAGTGGCATGACGGACGATTGAAGGAGAAAAGAACAACGTGTATGCTTATTGGCGCCCCAACAGTACACGTAGTGATGTGTGAGCAGTATAATGAGTAGAATGGGGAAGCAGAAATACGGACCCTGCCACTTGACCCTGCCAGTAGCTTGAGCCAGAACACTTGAGCCAAAACGGCCTGAGGAGGAAGGGAGGAGGAGCAAAAGGAAAAGGATGAGACGGAGGAGGAAAAATGATGATAATGGAGGGTGCTGCTGCTGATGATGATGACGATGACGACGCCGACGGTGATGATGATGATGATGATGCTGCTGATGATGATGCTGCAGCTGATGATGGTGATAGTGATGATGATGATGATGATGATGATGATGATGATGATGATGAAGATGATGATGATGATGATGATGAGGATGAGGATGATGATGATGATGATGATGATGATGATGATGATGATGATGATGATGATGATGATGAGGGTGATGCTGATGCTGATGCTGATGATTATGATGATGATACTGATGATGATGAGGATGGTCGTGAATATGATGCTGATGATGATGGTGATGCTGATGCTGCTGATGCTGCTGATGATGATGAAAAAGAAAATGGTGATGATGATGATGATGATGATGATGATGATGATGATGATGATGATGATGATGCTGATGCTGATGCTGATGCTGATGCTGATGCTGATGCTGATGCTGCTGATGATGGTGTCGGTGACTATGACGATGATGCTGCTGGTGATGATGCTGATGATGATGATGACCAGGAGGAGGAGGAGGAGGAGGAGGAGGAAGAGAAGGAGGAGGAGGAGGAAGGTAATAGTAGCATAATAATCAGAAGAAGGAGAAGAAGAAAAAGAAGAAGAAGGGAGGATGGGAGGTGAAGAGACACATAGGATCAGGAGGGTGACTGAGGAGTGGGAGCAGGAGGAGGAGTAGGAGAATGATTTGGAGGATGAGGAGGAGGAGGAGGAGGAGGAGCGTGGAAGGAGGAGGAGGAGGAGGAGGAGGAGGAGGAGGAGGAGGAGCAGGAGGAGCGAAGGTCGCGGGAGATGGAGGCGCCGATTGGCAAGGTTCCGTCGCGCTTCTTTCCCGCTTCAGCTCGCCAGGGCGTTGCCAGCGTCGCCATGGCTGCGCTCGTCGCCGTTGCTGCGCTCGGAAGGAGGTGGGCGGGGAGGCGGAGGTGGGCTGAGATCCTGGCCCTGAGTACTTATTGGACCGAGCCGGACCACATGTGGACAGTCTCAATACGCAGGACGGAAAAAACAGCTTCTCCTCACGTGCGGACCGCGTCACTCCGTACCGCAACTCGCGCCCCCGCAGAATCTCATCGTGGGCACGCTCTGGGGTGTCGGATCTGACTTCTTTGCGATCCCCCGCTCTGGTGTCACGGCATCAGCTGCAATCTGGAAGCAGGGTACTGAATCAGGCACGCGTGAAAGACGGGGCGGAAATCAGAGCCGGAAAAGGCGTGCTCAGATTAGCGCGGACGGAGATCCGATCCAGCGCCACTCCAGTCAGAGCCGAAATCGGACACAGGCAACCTTATCATCATCCCCACTGCAACTCCATCCATACATAATTATCATGGCTGCACTTCGAGCCCTGTCGTTCCGGTCCCAAGAGAACAGCATGTTCGTCTTGGGGTGTAAGCCAAATAGGGAGGCTGGAAGACGTGTACGTATGCTCTAGCTCTTCATGGCTCTGTCCAGTTTCCCTTCAGTTTCCCTGCCCTGACCAGCACACCCCATCTATTTGGGATTTGCGCCAGTCCCTGCAAGTTTTTCCAGCCGTGGCCACCTCCATTTATGGAGCTTCTAGCTACCATTTTCTCCAGTTTCCCTGTGTTCGGAGGGGGGGGCGGGAAGATGACGGTGCTGCCGGGGTGAAGAGAACAGGGAAGGGGATGTCCACAGGCCTCCCCTTCTCTCTTCTCCTTCCCATCCGTGTTGCGGTTCGGGCGGTTTCTTCGGCCAGGCCCAGCTTAGGGGCTTAGGTAATCCTTGCCGACCGCATTTGATCACCAAGGCTGGGCGCCAGTTTTTTGATCGGTTATCTCGCGACCTGTGAATCTCATGCTGAGCAGCATGCCTTTTACCATCACGTGATGGCGGAAATCTGGGAAACCTTCCTCCTCAACATCCTCCCTATCATCCATCTAAGGGGGACTCTGTTGGGTCTTGTCCTCCACGCACGGGACTCCCCATGCCTGGAGCCTTGAGCTCTAAGATAAGAGAACGGCGCCCCGCGATCAGAGGCGATCTGCGGCACCTCGTGGAGATGCTGCGCCGGGGCAAGAAGCCGAGGCTCTGCGAAGAGCGGGTTGACGCACTGGAGGAGCTGCGCGCGTGCTTCTGCCGTGTGTCATGCAATCCTGGTTGGGGGGTGGATGGGAGGAGGAGGAGGAGGAGGAGGAGGAGGAGGAGGAGGAGGAGGAGGAGCAGGAGCAGGAGCAGGAGCAGAGGAAGAGGAGGAGCAGGAGGAGGAGGAGGAGGAGGAGGTGGTGGAGGGGGAGGGGGAGGGGAGGGAGAGGGGAAGGAGGAGGAGGAGGAGGAGGAGGAGAAGGAGGAGGAGGAGGAGGAGGAGGAGGAGGAGGGGGAGGGGAAGGGGAAGGGACAAGATGAGGGAGGGCGGGAGACGATGTACAACAGGGGGGGAGGGGGGAGGGGGGAGGAGGGGGAGAGGGGGAGTGGACAAGCTAGGTTTGCTCGCGTCATGTCTGACGTCCTACCCCTCCCTCCCATCCCTTACCATGGCGTAGATCTCCCCTCGATTCGCACAGTCGGATGTCGAGCAGGGCAATGATCCCGAGAGGGTGCGCGACGCATCGTAGAGCACGGCATGGCAGGGTGCAGAGGAGCACGGCAGAGCGTAGTATGCCATAGCATGGGGTGGTGTTGCGCAGTGAAGAATTGCATCACAAAAAGCATTGCAACGCAAATGATGTAATCGCACAGCGGCACAGAACAGAACGTGGCATAGCATGGCGTTGAGGATCAAAGCGTGGCATGGCATAGCATGGCGTGGCATTGCGTAGCCAAGCACTGCATATCCTAGCATTGCAGCTGAAGGCATGGCATCGCACAGCGGAACACAACATAGCATTGCATTGCATTGCATGCCGTGGCATGGTACTGGAATTAATGACGCCAGCGCTGCAGCGGGAGCACGATTCGGAACGAGCGGAAGCGCGGAAACGAGGCCAGCGCTGCAGCAGGAGCACGATTCGGAACAAGCGGAAGCCCGAAAATGAGGCCAGCGCTTCAGCAGGAGCAACATTTAAAGACCCCAGCAGAAACCCAACTCCAGGGAATCCTGTGTGTAAAAAACAGTACGCGGAGGGGGCGAAAATCTTCCGGACGTCATCAGGAAAGAGAGAGGGAGAGAGGAGAGTAGTATTCATATTGTGTATTGTACAGGAGGGGGAAGCGGTGGGAGGGGAGCATGAGAGGGGGAATCGTGGGGAGGAGGAGGAGGAGGAGGAGGAGGAGGAGAAGGAGGAGGAAGAGGAGGAGGAGGAGGAGGAGGAGGAGGAGGAGAAGGAGGAGGAGCAGGAACAGCAGGAGGAGCAGGAGGAGGAGGAGGAATTCCAAGCTTCGAAAGGGGCTCCTATCAGAAAGGAGCTGTCGGCGGGGACACGCCTTTCCCCCTGGCCTCTCTCCCGTTTTGCCCTCTGCCTGCCCCTGCCTCTGTTGCCTCCCCCTCTGGTCCCAGCCATGCCGGTCCTGGTCTTCCAGTGTAGTCGGGCGCCTGCTAATCAGGGATGGACGGGGCGCGCTGGAGGTCTGCGAGGTCTGCGACGACGACGAGAGAGGGAGGAGGAGGAGGAGGAGGAGGAGGAGGAGGAGGAGGAGGAGGAGGAGGAGGAGGAGGAGGAGCAGGAGGAGGAGGAGTAGGAGGAGGAGGAGAGGAGGGGGAGGGAGGAGGAGGAGGAGGAGGAGGAGGAGGAGGAGGGAGGAGGAAGAGGGGGAGCAGGAGGGGGGGAGCAGGAGGGTGAGCAGGAGGGGGAGCAGGAGGAGGAGGAGGAGGAGGAGGAGGAGGAGGAGGAGGAGGAGGAGGAGGAGGAGGGGGAGCAGGAGGAGCAGGTCTGCGATGTCTGTGACGACGACGAGAGAGGGATGGGCGGGCGCGGGGGGAGGGAGGGTTCACAGGCGGAGGGCGCAAAAGAGTTGTGAGCTGCGTGCTACCGAAGGTCGTGTTGTACTTTTGCCCGTGCGTCTTCCGTTCTGTGCAGCTGTTCTTGCGGCCGTCCATGACTGAATGAAGCGTCTTGTCGTGTTCAGGACCGGCGCATTCGCTCGCACACCTCAAGGCCTTCCAGGGCCTCTGTTGCTCGCCAGATGCACTTGGGCGGTGGCCAAAATTTTAATCGTTTGGAATCGCATGGAGGATGCCGTGGTCGTCGCTGTGGGGGGGAACGCGCCGATCTTGGCCAGGTCTTGGGCCCCAGAGGGTCCCAAACCCTCGTGTTCCCCGCGAGCAGCGTCGACGTCGCGAGCTTATGCCCGTGCGCACGCGGTAGGTTCGCGTCGTGTCGGCCAGCAGCGACCCCAGCGTGGGCGTTGAAGGTTGAACGCCGCCCGTCGTCAAGAATCGGTCGACGATAAACGATCGGACGTTTCGGAAACGGCCGATCGTTCAAGGGCGAACGATCCCCGCGGGGGATCAGACACCAACGCCGAAGTCGGCACGACACGAACCTGCCGTACAGCTAACGCGCCTAGTAAGGACGCGCGCCGCCTTCATCTAGGGTGCCCTTGTGTCCTTGCCTCTGCGGCCCGTCCTTTGCCATGTTCGCTGGTAGCCCGCCGCCCAAAAGATCCCAACTTCGGCCTCCAAGGGTCTTGCGCCCTCACCACCCGCCCTCAATACACGTATTCGACTGTATTGCGAAGGCCTTACAGCTGGTGCCGCCGACCCTGAGACGATGACGACGCCGACGCCCTGTGGGGCTGTTTTGGGAACCTCGTGGAGGGCTCTTGGGCTGTCCTGGGGCGATCTTGGAGGCGTCCTGGGCCATCTTGGAGCGTCGGGAAGCAGGAGGGGCCAGAACGTCCTTGATACATGTACTTGACTGTATGTGGCTTCCTGTGAGGTCGCTCGCCCCGCCCACCCCCCCTGCCCCCCCTGGGCGTGCCACGCGCGCGACCGTCGCCGCGTGCCTGCGCCCCCCTGTGGGCGGCCCCGCCCACGGGGGCGCGGGCACGCGGAGGAGGAGGAGCGCCGCGTGCCTGCGCCCCCCTGTGGGCGGCCCCGCCCACGGGGGCGCGGGCACGCGGAGGAGGAGGAGGAGGAGGAGGAGGAACACGAGGAGCAGAACAGCAGGAGGAGAGACACGAGAGGAGAGGAGGAGGAGGAGGAGGAGGAGGAGGAGGAGGAGGAGGCGGGAGGAGGAGGAGGAGGAGGAGGAGGAGGAGGAGGAGGCGGAGGACGAGGAGGAGGACAGAGGAGGAGGGGGAGGAGGAGGAGGAGGAGGAGGAGGAGGAGGAGGAGGAGGAGGAGAGAGGGGAGGAGGAGGAGGAGGAGGAGGAGGAGGAGGAGGAGCAGGAGGAGGAGGAGGAGGAGGAGGAGGAGGAGGAACACGAGGAGCAGAGCAGCAGGAGAAGCAGGAACACGAGGAAGCAGGAGGAGGAGGAGGAGTATGCGGAGGAGGAGGAGGAGGAGGAGGAGGAAGGGAGGAGGAGGAGAGGAGGAGGAGGAGGAGGAGGAGGATGCGGAGGAGGAGGAGGAAGAGGAGGATGCGACGAAAAAAGAGGAGGAGGAGAGGAGGAGGAGGAGGAGGAGGAGGACGACTAGGAGGAGGAGGACGGAGGAGGAGGAGGAGGAGGGGAGGAGGGAAGAGGAGGAGGAGGAGGAGGAGGAGGAGGAGGAGGGGAAAGAGGAGCAGGGGAGGAGGAGGAGGAGGAGGAGGAGGAGGAGGAGGAGGAGGAGGAGGAGGAGGAGGAGGAGGAGGAGGAGGAGGAGAGGAGGAGGATGCGGAGGAGGAGGAGGAGGAGGAGGAGGAGGAGGAGGAGGATGCGGACGATGAGGAGGAGGAGGAGGAGGAGGAGGAGGAGGAGGAGGAGGTTGAGGAGGAGGAGGACGACGACGAAGAGGATGAGGGGGAGGAGGAGGAGGAGGAGGAGGAGGAGGAGAGGAGGAGGAGGAGGAGGAGGAGGAGGAGGAGGAGGAGGAAGGGAAAGAGGACGGAGGAGGAGGAGGAGGAGGAGGAGGAGGAGGAGGAGGAGGAGGAGGAGGAGGTGGAGGAGGAGGAGGAGGAGGAGGAGGGGAAACACGCCTTTCCTCGCGTGTCTCTGGTGCACCTCGCCTCGCAGGCCGCCCTGGCGGCGCCGGGCTCCGCCGTCGACTCCCTCGGCGGCCTGCGGCAGCAGGTGGAGGCGTGGCGTTCGGGCGCGCAGAGGCCCTTCGCGCCGTCCTCATGCTCGTCGTCGTCGTCGTCGTCGTCATCATATCGATCATCGTCGTTGTTGTCGTCGTCGTCGTCCTCCTCCTCCTCCTCCTCAATCGCATCGTCCCCCTCCTTTCCCTGCCCCATCCCGCCCCCCTCTTTCTTCCCTTCTCGCATCCTCATCTCGCTACCCCCGCGCCGCTGCCTACCAGTGCCGTGTGCGGAGGGCACGCTTGCACCTCCATGTCGGGAGCGGTCCAGATCCAGAAGCTGCTGCGAGCGCGCCAGGGCTCCTGGCCCCAAGGGAGGGGGAAGAAGAAGAAGAAGAAGAAGAACAAGAAGGAGAGGAGCAGGAGGAGGAACAAGAAGAGGAGAAGAGGTGGGCCCTTGTAAAGGAAGTTGCCGACGCTGGCGCAGCGCATCGTGGCGGGCAGGCTTGCCATGGGCACGCAGCGAAGCTGGGCAAGTGTCACAAACCTCAGCAAGCGCTGAGGATCGCGATAAGCAAAGGAGGAATCGGTGGGCGGCGGAGGAGGAAAAGGAGGGTCAGGAGGCCCTCGTCCTCCTCCTCCTCCTCCTCCGCCCCGACCGCTCTACATCTTTCCAGCAACGACATCATATACATCATTCGCTGCCCGGAGATTAAGGGGCTTGGGCGCGAGGGGGGGACCCAGGGCAACCGAACGAAGCCCAGGGGCTTCCACTCCCCATCCTCGTCTCAACAAGCTCTCCCAATGGAGCCGGCGAGAGGAATTCCAGGACGGTCGTGGAGGATTCAGTGCTCGGGGGTATCTTTGGCTCAGGGGCTCAGGCCTCCCAAGTCGAGGCTGGTGGAAGGGATGTGGTCCTCCTTACTAGTATCCCCCACCCGTTCCTCCTCCTCCTCCTCCTCCTCCTCCTCGCCCTCCCTCACGGTCGCCGCCCGCTGGCACAATACATCCAACACATCCAAGCGCGGCAGTATTTCATTACCACCTCTCTGCCATCAGCTCGTTTTTCTCAGCATCCTGCTCCTCCTCCTACCATTACGGCTACTACTCATCATGGTCACCCCTCCCACATCATTCTCTACTCGCCCGTCTTCGTTTTCCTCGGGTTGGCTTGACCCTACGTCTAGCCGTTTCAGGCAGCTGCTTCTGGATAGTAGCATTATTGTGAAGGGTTCGGGGCGAGGCCAAGTTGATGGGGAGAGGGAGGAAGGAGGAGGGAGAGAGGAGGTTGGGGTGAGGAGAGAGGATGGACGAGGGATGCGGGGGGCCTCGGGAAAGGAGGAACATGGAAGAAGGATGCAGGAGGAGGGAGGGGGAAGAAGGGGAAGAAGGGAGTTAGAAGGAGGGAACAGGGAATGGAATCGGCAGTAGGAGGACCAGAACGGTCTGAAGAGGGAGGAGGAGGAAGAGGAACAGGAGGGGAGGAGACAGGGAGAGAGGGAGAGAGAGAGAGAGAGAGAGAAAGAGAGATAACGAGACAGATAATGAGACAGAGAAAGAGATAGAGAGAGAGAGAGAGAGACAGAGGATGAGGCAGATAAAGAGGACGAGGCAGAGCACGAGACATAACAAGCCAACGATAAAGAGAACGAGACATAGCAATCCATATATACATCCATATATATACACAGAGATAGAGCGTTCTATACATTTGATTAGAACGGTACATCGAAGTATAAAGAGACAGAGGGAGAAAACGAGAGAGACATACAGGCAGGCAGGCAGGCAGGCAGGCAGGCAGGCAGGCAGGCAGGCAGGCAGGCAGACACACAAACAGACAGGCAGACAGACAGAGAGAGTCTGAAACAAGAGAGAACACGAACACCTATGCATGTATATATATATATATATACACAGAAAGAGAGGCAGGGCACAGTGACGACACGTGACAAAGGTGAGTACGCAGGGAGGCTCAGGATGATTACGGAGTAGAAGGAGGATTGGGAGGATGAGGAGGTAGAGTTGGAAGGGGAGCAGGCTGAGGGAGTGGACGAGCGAGGAGAAATAAGGGAAAATGGTGAATGATGATGGCGAGTAGAAGGAGGAGGAGGAGGAGGAGGAGGAGGAGGAGGAGGAGGAGGAGGACGAGGAGGAGGAGGAGAACGTAGAGTAGAGGGGAAGCTGGATGGGATGTCAGATCCCACACCCTCCTCCGTACACGCACCGCCTCCCTGTCGCATCCCCAGACGTGTCGCCAGGGCGGGCCAGGCATGTCGATTGAGATTTCCTCAATACTTAGGATCTTGAAGCTAGAGGCTGTCGACAGTTACGGAAGGCGGGCACATCGGTTTCCAAAGGTTGTTCTCGCATTGGCGCCGCGCACGTTCGCTTAACAGCGTTTCAAACAGCTACACCGATGGAGGGGATGTGGTTTTTAAGCTAGGGTTCTCGTCTTGTCGCCGTGCAACAACTGCACGGGTGGAGGGCAGACCGTCTTCGAAATTGGGCTCTCGTATTGCCGCCGCTCGCGCTCGTCTGAAACATGTCCAAACCAACTTATTGATGGGGAGCGGGTGGTTTTCGAAGCGGGGTTCTCGCTGTAGACCTCTCTGGGATCTCCGGGCAGAGACCTGCTACCGTGTGCCCGTTTTACGAACGGAAGGCAGCTCTTCTTTAAGGCGGTGCCATTGGTGGGCGCTTCTTTCACTTGAAGATTCCGCCGCAAAATATTAGACATCGACGCCCTATAATGGATTCCCCCGGGGCGTTAGGGGAGGGTGGCGGTGTATAAATCACCACTGGGAGCCAGCGACTTTATTCAGCATCGTTTAATCACTGTTCCCTAGTAAAGGAAAAAAACATCCCCTCCCACACCTGGCCGGCAGCCAACCCGGAACCATGCGCACACCATGAGGGCACCCCCCCCACCATCCCTGTCAAAAAACACTACAAAACACACACTCTGCCTCCACATCGGCGCATCTGGGCGCTCTTGGGCTCGGTCGCGTGGATTTTCCAGAGGCCACAGGGCCCCAAGACGAGCCAAGATGGCCCCAAGAAGCGCCCAAGAGGGCCCAAGAGGCCTCCAAGACGGCCAAAGAGCGCTCCAAGACGCCCGAGATGGCCCCAAGACAGCCCAAGAGGCCTCCAAGAGGCTCCAAGAGCGCTACAAGAGGCCTGCCGAGAGGGCTCCAGGAGGCAGAAATCATTGAATGTCATTGTGTTTTTCTAATGTTTTTGGGGCTCTCGCTCTTTCGTGCTTCCGACGCTCCAAATTGGACCACGAGGCCCAATAGACCGCCCCAAGCTGGCCCAAGAGGCCCCCAAGAAGGTCCCAAGACGGTCCAAGAGGGCCCCCAAACAGCCCAAGAGGCGCTCAGGATCGCCCAAGAGGGATCCCAGACGGCCTTAAGAGGGTCCCAAGAGGGGGAATACGAACCGAGAATTCGAGCTTTCCGCTTCAAGAGGCCCCCAGGAGGCCCCAAGAGGCCCCCAAGAGAGCCCAAGAAGCCACCTGGAGGCCGCACGAGGCCTCCAAGAGGTTCAAAAAGAGGCCCCAAGAGGCCCCCCGACGCCCCCCAAGAGGCTTCAAAAGTGCCTCCGAGAGGCCCCCGAGAGGTCTCGCACGGTATCCCAACGAACATCCAAGAGGCCTCTAACCAACACCCCAGGCACGGTAGCGGGATGGGCCGAAGGCCACTAGACCTGGGCCGGCACGGGAACGGAAAGAGCATTTCAGCAACTTGCCCGAGATGGTTCATGCCACCCTTCGCTCTTGGGAGCCTTGTTGCGTCACCGCTCGTTCTTGGGAGCCTTGCTGCTAAACGCGTGTTACGGCACCGCTCTCTGTTGGGAGCCTTGCTGGGAAGAGCTTGTTGCGTCACCGCTATCTGTTCAGAGTCCTCGTGCCCAGAGGTGCTTAAGTTGACGCTCGCTTTTGGGAGCCTTGCTGGTAAGAGCTTGTTGCGTCACCGCTCGTTCTTGGGAGCCGTGCTGATAAGCGCGTGCTACGTCACCGCTTTCAGTTGGGAGCCATGCTCCTCCTCTTCCTCCTCCTTCCTCTTTCTCCGCTCTCCTCCTCCTCCTCCTCTTCCTCCTCCTCCTCCTCCTCCTCCTCCTCCTCCTCCTCCTCTCCCATCGTCCTACTATTGTCCTGTCTACGACTACGATTGTCCCGTCGGGACCTTTGCATTGGTTGTTGACAGAGCCTGGTTGGAGGTTCAAATCTTTGGTCCTTGGGTCCGGTGTTACTTTAAGTAACACCAGAGGGTGGGTGGGAGTGAGCTACACGGCTTGCTCCTTGTAGGTGTGTCTTGACCGATCCTTATCCCCATCCCCATCCACATTTCGAGCCCCGCCGCGCCGTCTCACCATCTCAGTTGGGGATATGCCCTCGAAACCCGAAGAGAGCAGCCTATGTCCCCATCCAGGGGGTAAATCGGCCAGTGGGGCCCAGCTCACGCTAGTGGGGGTGGGGATCGGTTAAACGATGCTCACTTATACACCGCCGCCCTCCTTGGAGGTAAATGCGAAGTTCGTCGGAGGGCGCCCGTGTACATAGTTTGCGTGGCGCAGCCTTGCCGCGTTCCTTTGTGTCTCGGAGGGTGGAGGGTGGTCAGGTCTTGAAGCGGAGCTGCCGCCCGCGCTGCGTTCTCACGCGGCACGTTGGTGTTGCCTAGTTGCGATTACGGTTGCGCCCGCGGGCGGGTTGAAATGTTTCGTCTAATTGG